GTAGAGATCCAGATCTTCTTACATCTCAGGCTGGTTTCGTGGGTGCTCAGAGTGGTCTGGTGGATATCCAGCTCAATTCCGGGGACCAGTTGAAAAAGGGTCCCCTACTCCTCTGCCATCTTTCCCCCCTCCTATATATGCATTTCTAATAGTCTTATGGATAGAATATTTTGATGATAACATAGGTAGAAATGTTCATTTCTCCCCAAACTTTTAGTATTCTTTCTGTCCCAAAATGGAAGGAATGATTTTGTTATCTGCATTTTATCTTGCCTAATTTTGTTTTGCGTGATGGTAGTAGTGACCAGAGCTATATAGTCAAGGCCATCTAGGAGAGTTTAACCCTGTATTAAATGAGATTATTCTGTTCACATTTTTTTTTCCTTTCATTTCTTTGTCTTCTACTTTCCTCTCCATTCTCATTTCCTTTTCCCTTCACAGTGTCCCTGTCAGAACAAATACGGTGTTAATCCTGAAGCAGCTTGTAGGACATCAGCTGCCTCTCTGTAGATTTTTAATGTATTTATTGAAAGAGAATATCAAATCATTTGAAAATTCTGATGAGTACAGATTTGAAAAGAAAATTGTTTCCTGATAATCTAACTCTAGCCTAATAGCATTACCATCTTGAATATTGATGATAATATTCTGAGTACCTTTTAACTTTATTTACCTTTTTCTCTTTCTGTTTTCTGTTTGTTAGGGGTGTGTAGGTGTGCATATGGCCATGATAGCATCTGAGAAAGAGAGAAAATTGTTTTTGTTCTTGTTTTAGTAGTCAGCTTGAAACATAGCTTTCTTATCTTTGATTTCATCACCTTTAAGTTTGTCTTTCTAAACCTAGGATTGTTGTGTCTGAGCACATGTCTAAACACATGTCTTAAATCATGTCTTTTAATTAATTAATGTTCTTATCTCCTATGGCCCTGGAAGGACACTAGTTATGTATTACTCTTGAAACAATCGAAAAAATAGCCTCTTGAATATTTTTTTTGTTTGATGGGTATCCTCTATCGAGCTTGTTACTTTTTTACATTTTAGTGAACTTCCTCTTTCTTCAGCACATGGTGCTTTTTTTTTTTTTTTCATTTTACAGGAAGAAATTGTGCTTAGACAATAGTTTGACTCTATCAGACACACTGTTACTTTCATTTTGAGAAATACTGCTTGACATCACTTTGTTTTTCTAAAGTAGAACAACTCTAGTTTGGAGCTTCTATTAAAGATACTAATAACATTTTTACATTCAGTTTAGAATTTTGAAGAGAGGTTTTGGAAGAGATGACACAAAGCCCCCAGATAGCCACCCAGACTGATCACAGGAATCAAAGAACCCATGAAAAGAAACAAGGTAAGGATATTTACAGTTGTTCAGAATGAAAGTTATAGATGGAAATTATGACATTATGTTAAAAGCCTTCCAAGGTATGGGATGGGTTTTGTTGTTTTTTTAATCAGGGCAGAAAAATCCTTCTTTGAGTTAACATCTCCATAAAATGAAAATTGTGACAATAAAATTCAGATTTGTAATTGGCTATTTTGTCTTATGAATGGAGACTATTTTAACTGATAGTGGAGAGGGATTAACCACAGTTTAAAACTATTCAAAATTTAATTTCATTTTTACTAAATATTTAATAAAACTAAAACTGGAGAAAATGTTAAATTTGATCCACAGACTCATTCAAGGCCCAGAATGCAGACACAATATGAAAAATTTGGCCAATATTTCTAATGTCTTAAAAGATTGTTTATGGACAGTGAGTGGAGTCACGATAAGCCAGACTTTGGGGTACTTAATAGCAGAAAGATTATCTCCCTATCCTCCTCTTATCTGAACAATCACTAGTACTCTGATGTCCTTGAAGATGTCTCTGGCAACCTTAAGAAAGATAAGAAAAGAAAATGCACTTTAAAACTAAAAGTAGAAACTAGAAAACAACTCGGTAGCTTGGGACATACTAACTAGCAAGTTCAGGATATGTAAGATCCAAACTTGAAATCTAGCAGAAAAATCTTTCAAAGGTATTTCAACAAGGGTCTTCATAGTCAAAATATGGTGAAGAAGAGAGGCTAAATCCATTAAATACAATAATCATTTTAGGGACTCTGGTTGGTTTTAAGCATTTGCCATTTAATTTCTTTTCAGTCTACTAGTGCATGCAACAGTCAAAAGTTATTGTTACTGCAGTTCATATTAGAATGCATAAATAATTATTCCTCATTTTTTTGATAATTCTGTCTAAGGTTAGATCAAAGAGGGTTGGGTACAATGGGATCAAATATTATATGATAATATGAAAATATCAGAACCAAAAGTTTAAGAATGCTTTCTAGCCACTCATAAAATCAATGTTAATTTCTACCCTAAATATCAATCATCAATATGAATTGATATATTTTATGTATGAATAAATGATATATATTACAAATATAGTCTGTAATTTATGAAGTAATATTAAGTATATGTATATTATATATAGCATACATAGATATATAATTTGAACTTATAAACACCATGGTAATAGTTAATTTATTGCATGATATAATTTATTTTTTAATATTTTCTTTTATATTATTCTCTCTTATTAGTAATTTGTTAATTTTTTTCCCCATAGCTGTCAGCTAAGAAAAAGTGTATTTTATTGAGTTTTAAATTCACTGGTCACCCTGGATTTTTCCTCTTATCTCTACTTGGAGATCATTGTCAATTTTAGAATATGTGCTGTGGAATCAAGCACAGAGGAGATCGGTGCCAGAAACTGAGAGAAATTACTTGAGTCAGCTCTATGGGGAAAGTAATTGGAATCCTTAACTGTTTAGATTATGATAGGGATTAATTTAGAACTATTTTAGTTACATTATTAATAGGTTTTCATTGAGTTGCCAGGGGATGTTATCTGTTTTTACTTTCCTTTGTTGCACACATTATAAGGGCTGAGCAACTTCTTTGAAATTCATCTCTCACTACTAAATTCACAGTGGGAAACCAATATTTTCTGGGTTTTTTTGTTTGTTTGTTTTTTGGATAATTTGTGCATGTGCAGGTATTGATCATTGAGTATAAGGATAAAGGAGAAGGAACTTATAAAATGAAAGCCATTTATACTGAATGTAGAAAAGTAGATTTTAGGGCTCAGGACAGATTAGAGAATGAACATGTAGCATGCTTAAATATGTATCTGCATATCAGAAATGCAGTACATGTCCAATTCATTAGTGTCCTGTATCAAACTAAAAGTCACTCCAAGTCCCCATCCCACTGAATTGACAGGACATTTAATCTATGCTGTTTGGTGGTATTGAGAGTGCGGGGGAGGAGGGTTCTTCTGGGTTATATGACGTTTCCTAACTTTATTGTGGCATTGAAACATCAAGAGAGTCTTCAGTCATCTCTTTTCTCTGGTTATTTGTGAAAAGATATATCCCAACATCAATTAGCCTTTTGGTTCTAGTCCCGCTATTTTTGTGCTACACTTACCATAGCATGCCATGCTGTTTCTTTGCCACATTCATGGCGCAGGCATCTTATTGAGTCTGGTGTTGTATACATGTAATGACACATTGACTTGACTGATGATATAGAAAAAGGAGAAAAGTACTTGTTTTCTTTTTTTTTTAAGATCATAGTTTTTCTTTTATTCTTTTTTTTTTACTTGTTTTATTCTTATGTTAACCCCCATACATTACATCATTAGTTTTAGATGTAGTGTTCCATGATTCATTGTTTGTGCATAACACCCACTGCTCCATACAGAATGTGCCCTCCTCAATACCCACCACCAGGCTAACCCATCCTCCTGCCCCCCTCCCCTCTAGAACCCTCAGTTTGTTTTTCAGAGTCCATCATCTCTCATGGTTCGTCT